GGCATGCTATCTCAAGGCTGACTATGATTAAGATTACGATGATAAGACGACAATGATAATGATGAAAAACACTATTAAGAAGAAAAGCAATGACACTGTTGATGAACATCAACAATATCAGTCAGCTCTGAGTCAAGAGGAAAATGTGCAACTAAAATTTACGATCGTCATAAACCTTTTCGATGCACTGCTAGATGAATATCTGTCCAGAAGTTCACCACTGATTTCTGTTTTCTTCCATTTTCATCCATGTCGGTCCATCGGATCTTGCAATCGATTTGATGATCTTTCAACGGGCCTATGGTCTACTTATTAAGTGAAACCAATGTCCTTCTGGTTCAGCAATGAACGGTTCTGTAGGCGACGTGTAACTACATTTCAACCTATTCACTCATGTAATTACATCACAAACTCTTGTCTGTGCTTTCACACTGGTTTTTTGGTCATTTTTACTTGTTACTGCAAGCTATACTACTTCATATTACAATGGGTAGTCAGAAGTTCATGAATACGTTTCAAGCGTAGGGCTTTCACTGGGGGCTCCGCACTCATGGGCTAACATGGGGATCACCCACTGATCGTTTTACAATTTCCGTTTCAAGCAGAACGACAATTTCCTGGGTAAGAATTTTTAAGTTTTCCAATAGTGTTACATGCCATTACTGTCCTTCTGCTGATTTCACATAGTTTTCGTTGCAGAAATGACGTCTCTACCAGGCAGACGGAGTTTTGCACTTCCTCAAGCTTAAGTTCGTTGACTTCAACAGGCAGGTCGCGAGGTAAAGTTATTTGTTAAACATAACTTGAGTCTTTTTCAAGTTCACTTTCAGTCCTACTTTGATATTGACATCATTCCGCTGCTGGATTCTTCGCTGAATTTCGTCTGGTGACCCTGAGAAGAACAGAATGTCGTCCGCAAAACCGTCGATGCTTAAGTAGTGTCCAATTAGGTTCAGTCCCTGATTTTCACAATGAGGTGTCTTTAAAACTCCTTACACGGCTGTTGTGTATAACTTCGGTCATGATCATCACTCTATCGAAGATCTTTTTCGATTTTGAATTTGTCTGTGCTTTCATGAAGCTTCAAACAATTCTTGTAAACCCTGGAGATGAGGTGTCTATATCTTTTCTCGATTAATCGGCTTCTTAAAGAACCCAGTACTGAATGTAAAATTAGCATAATTATTCATATTTACCTCTACGAAATCACCGTCATTTTATAGCGGCAAAACGCAATGGTCAATAAAAAATTTTATATTATCTATAATAACAACACATAATAACCTGATGCTTTGAACCACGAACCAATAAATAAAGAGGTATAATAAGTAGTAAAGCAAACTAATCCCAACACTAAAAAAGAGGCATGTCATTTATCTCACACTCATGTAAAGCAGGAAAAAGCTGCCGTTTGCTAAGAGGCACACGGCTGCATCGGTAAGTGTTCATAGCGCGAACAGTAAACACAAACACTTTCCTTTTTACATGCTTCTATTCACCTTTTTGTTTACGACTCTGATTAGGTGCTGGAGATGTGCAAGCTTTATAACACAAAATTGAGACAAACGCCTGTGCTTCGCGCAGTTCGATTACGAAACCGCAAAACATCTGCCAGCGGCAACTTCTAATAAAGGTAATCAAGTAACAAACCAGAATTCGCGTGTACCTTCCTCTGAGGTAACGTCGACCCATCGAGGACGCAATACGCTCTGAGATGCCGGAAACCAAACAGCTCCTCGTCGGCCGCCGTTGCCGTACCACTGCTAGCATTCGAGTCGCCATCATCCGAATGACCCCCACCGCCGCCGTCCATACTGCAAGATATGCTCGAACAATCGCCGGTGGTGCTGTCCTCCGAGCCGGTCTTACTCGGGAACCGATGGTGGCTCTTGTTACCCTTCTGCATCTTCCTTGGGAAGGAGAAGAGCTTGCGGCGCCGATCATCGACGCCGAACTTCGTCTCACTCATGGTCACTTGCACCGCAGGGGTAGTAGCCACAGGCACCGGCGACGACGAGTCTGTACGGATCGATGTGCTGCTGCTCAGATCTTCACTGGGCGACTTCTTCTTCCGCCAAAAGTGAAGCATCAACCTTTAGGAAAG